TGTGCTGTTAATTACTTAATACTGACATACAATAAACATATGTGTGGGGGTGGCTCACCCAAGAATATCCCTAATCTGAATTCAAAGTCCTAGACAATACATTCAATTTTGTACCAAACTGTGCACATTAATAACTTGTAACAAATGACAAATTTTGTCGTTTAGATTTTTGAAATTACAAGTTGAGCTTTAAGGTGTGACTCGATAACCCTTACGGCTTATGTTTGTCTGGGCCCTAATTGCAACTATATGTCTGGCCTGGCCTGGAGACATTTCAAAGATTCCCTACACAATAACTTCAAAGATCTAGCTTGACTAAAGATGTAATTTGGAGTATATTGCACATATACAAAACTGAATATTGTAAAGACACATTTTGGCATTAATATACCGGCTTTGATTAAACATACCTGCTTGCACTATTCAACAGTCACACAATATATATCCTTGATTGAGTCCATGTTAGTAAACACAAATTAGTTGGTACAAATGAGATATCTTGTACACAGTGTCCATCTTGTAGGTGCCTGTAAAGCGGTTTCTGTATTGTGCAGGGTCTGCATGAAGATGGCTGTGGTCGGATCTCTGTGGGATACACGTGTATACTTCTTTTCTTAGGTCATGTGCAGGAACGACATCTTGAAGGGGAAGACTTAGCAGTGTTGCTAAGATATTCTAGCAGGGAAGGTTTGGGATCGGAGAACTTGTTCTTGATCAGAGAGGTTCTTGTTCTTTCTTCAATCTTGTTACAGGCCATTTCTTCGTTCTTGGTGATTGGCCTTCAGGAAGGTAGTATATCCTTTTAATAAGAGACTGTCACTTCCTACAGTTTTGTGAACCATATGCCATGCTGCAAAGAGGTACAGGAAAGGACAGACTAAGAAGTCTGTCATACCCGATAGCTCCACCAAATAACAACGCGTGTCGGTCTGACGTTGATTAATGAACAATTTGCATACTCGTATATACAAGAGGCCGACATATGGTTCTCAGCTTGGAGACGATGACTTGCGGTATATACAGTTTTACTTTATACTTGTAGATATATACATACAAAAGACACTTTGTGCCAGGTCAGCACATAGTGGTTGTGGTTGTTGTCTTGGTGCCCCGGAGCACCCAGCCTAACCCTAGCTAGGCTAAGGGTAAGACCTTTCTTTTTCTCCTCTCTGGACCAAGGCTTATATAACCAAGGTCACCTGACATTTAGTAAGTTATAAATATAAATGTAAACAGTAAATCATCAGTGACATACTTGCACATCTCGTTCAGGATGGCAGAATGTCGATGTACACAAAAATGGGGATTAACAAATAGGATTAGCATCTCATAAATAACAGCAATTAAGTGTTTCAAGGCATAAAGATGTCATGGCTCCAGGGTAATGAGCCTTTGCAATTAAATGTTCTTCAGACAATGGGTGTCGTAAATCAGTCGCGAGGACAATTCTAAGGATCAAATGTTAATGAAAGCTGTACAGACAATGCAATCCGTGCAAAGAACTCAATTAAAAAAAATGTTTGTAATTCCGCTTGAGTTATTAACTCTGAGTTTCTATTCACTGATGTTTCTGGAACCCCAAAAGAACTCAAATGAAAGGTCTTGTTTGATTTACAACATCTACCACAATTAAAACAATGATAAGACAGCACAACTACCTTCTAAAATGCTTACCTGCGCAGTCCCATACATCCAGCCTCCAATAAATATCCACATTTCCTTTTCAAAAGCCAACATTACCAATGGGCTGTTCTGCCCTTTGGAATTTTTTTTACCCATGGCTATTTACATGGGTGACCAAACCAATTGTGGCGTTTCTTCAGAACAGGTGAATCTTTTGCGCCTTTTATCCTGACAAAGGAATCCAAGCCCCAAAATCAACAGAACAACTCAAACAATACTGAACTTTACCCTGAGATTATTAGCTCAACGAGGTTGGTATATCAGAAATATCAGAAGTCAGACCTACAACCATCCCAGGAGATCAAATTCCTTGGGATCAGGTTTCTAACGAGTGAGAATCAGATTCTAGTATCAGAAGATCAGTGGATAAAAACAAAAAATTACTTGCCAGCAGCAATTCGCAATTAAATCTCAGTCAACAAAAGGCAAGTGTTTCAAGGCTTACTCAATCTTCAAAACATGTAAATCTTCAATGCATGTCAAAATCAAGACCCTCAAGAAGTTGACTTTTCAACTTTACGAACTCGTTGACAGCCTGAAAATTAACGATAAAAGCAAGACATATTCCAGGAGTGGCAAACGTCTTAGCGGATGCCCTATCCAGACCAGCTAAACCAGCACCACGAGAATGGAAGCTGTATCCAGAAGCATTTATGGTGATAAGGGAAGAAGGTTGCCCAATAATTGATCGTTTCGCAAACAGATTCATAAATCAGATAGCACCTTTGTTTCACCTGTGCCAGACCCACTAGCTTGGTCAATCAATGCACAGGCAATATCTTGGGAGGGTCTAAACGTTTCCCCTACCTGCCTTGATACCATGGATAATCAAAAAAATCCTGCACACAAGCCACCTACAACTGCTTTTTGTAGCGCCTTATTGGCCATACGAGAACTTGGTTTCCAGACCTCGTCAAGCTAGCTGGAAATCTGTCAATTAAACTCCCAAACTGGCTTAACCTTCTTCTACATCCTCCTCAAACCAAGTTCATCCAAGACCAGAACTATACGAGCTTCATGTATGGAACATATTAAAAACAACCTCACTAAATGAGAATGTTCCATCAGAGCAGCTATGGCAGTTTCCTTAGCACTTTGTAGATGAACAAGGAATCTCTGTGATTAAAAATGAAGAGTTTTGACTAGTTTGCAAGATCCAAGGGGTTTTTAGCAGCCAAAGCTACTTTTTAAAAAGTAGCAGATTACCTGTGCCATTTAAGAAGCACAAGGAATCTTAAAGGTTTGACACTGAGAACTTATTTGACCGCTTCAGTACTGACTATTTCAAATGGGATAAAACTTACTAAATTTCCCAAACTGATGGCACAACTCAGATCTTTCAGATTTGAGGAGCAGCAGAAAAAAATTGGGGTCCCATCAAGGGACCTGAACATAGTGTTACAACATCTAACCAGTGATGTTTACAAACCTTCAACAGGCTGACTTTGAACACTTGACACAGAAAACCCTATTGCTTCTGGCATTAGTTAAGGCAGCCATAGTGTCTGAGATTCATGTGATAGACTTCAATTGCATTCGATTTGACAGCAGTAATAATGCATCACTGTTCCATAACCAATGACTGAGAAACCATGCCCCCTGTTCATGCAGCTGATGATGAGGAATGAAGCCACTGAAGAGGAATATGATGTCACAGCCCATCACAGCCACAACGTTCCTCAATGGCTGACTGCACTCCGTCATGGATAAGCAGTCAACTAGTCAGAAGTTTCAGGATTTCACATACTCATATTCATACTGTCTTCTAAGATCTAGAAACAACCTGCCAACTATCCACTGACATCAGGGCATGATTCTTTTCATGTCCAAGACCAGCTACACATAGAAAGAGCAGAGCTTCCCCCAGTGTGGCGGAGGCATCCCCAGAGGTGGCACTCATGGCACATGACTCACATTAAGTTAAGCAAGTTCAAGAAGTTAAGGAACGCCCTGAAATGAGGAGATTGGATGATAAGCCTAGACTAGGACTCCTATCTTCACATCTCCATTCATCCAAGTTACCAACATTATCTACTATTTGCAGTCAACAGGCAGAGGTATCAGTTCCTTCGGCATATCATTTGCTTCATGGCTATTTACCTTGATTACCACTCATCTAAAGCTCTTAAGACTACATGGCAATTTGACAACTTCCTATGGGCTGATCAGGACAAGTCACAGTTCAAGCAGAACATCCAACTTATAGCATACCTAGGATTCCTGGTTCTCCCTGGCAAGTTAGAGTCAGTACCTAGTACCAAGACATCGTCTTTATAGGGTCAAGGTTTCAGCTAATCAAGTGTATCCAAGCATTCACATGGACGACATCACTGTACAGGGGAAATGGACAATAACAGGAAGATAAGAGCATCGTTAAGCATGAAAGCATGGCAAGTTTGTATACACCACTTATCAGTGTGACAGACAACACCACAGTGGCGGCACATGTACATACAGCATCAAGGGGGCACGAGGTCTCATGTTTCATTCAAGCAGTTTACACATTTATTTGCTTTGGCATAATTGATGTGCTGCAGTATGGAAGCACATCACATACATATGGTCCCTCCATACTGAGATATTCGAGTGGATAACCTCAATATGGGGTACCCCACCTATCTCGCCTATTCGCCGCATGCCTTAACAACAGGCTTCCTGTGTACACCAGCTCTGTACCAGATCCTCTAGCCACAGCAAATCAAAAGCACAGAAAGCAAAGAAAATGACTATTTATCTCATGCAAGTTTTCATCTGGCTTAAAACAACCATAGCAGACAGCTGTTGCCAAGCACAACTCTCAATGCCCCCTGGTGAATACTGGCTATGATGTTAAATAGGTAAGGTATTCAAAGAAATTATTAATAGAATTATGCAAAATGATAATTCCATCAAGTAAATACCCTAAATCTAGCCTAGCCAGTATACACCTGGGCCCTAGAATCTAGTATTCCCAAATAGTTGACATTTGAGAAGTAGAAATATATATAATCTATATGACACCATGATATATATGACAGCACCTTACTTTCTTGTAATTTCAGTTTGTAGCCTTTGTTGTGGTATTTAAGACATATGATGACGTCACTATCAGTTCTGAGGTCACTTTCTGATGTCACTTCCGATTAGAATGATGATTGCAGTTCTGACATTACTTTCTGATGTCACTCCCTCCCTGTTCAGATGTCTTATATGATGTCACTTCCTGTCCTGAGACCACTTATGACACCACTTCCGTTTATATAAAACCCCTTCTATGCTTTGTTATGTGGCATATGTAACAGGGGTGGTTCATTTTAAAAAATGACAAGCTGCGGTTGTTTGTTGAGGTGACATTTATTCCAATCACAATTGATCAATCAACCCTGTAATAAAATATATAACATTATATACTGTACATAGAATAGCATACGGCTGCATGTTAATTATTTTCTAGTTTGCGTAGTCACATTAATCCATACATGCAACGCATACAGTTACACATCACTAGTTCGTTGTAGATAAATTATATTAAATACAATTTACCGAACTTTCAAATAGTAATACATATATTAAATGTCTCTTATCATAACTGAATATATCAGTTACACAACATATAGTTAGGAGAATACTAGTAGCCGTGTGGCGTCATAAATATATACTTATTATCTCTAAGATTAGGAATATATATAAAATGCTACCATGTTGTGTTAAATTATAACACATAGTTTATACATATAAATTCATTTATAAGTGAGTGATAAGATAAAGGATTTATACATACCCTGTGGGTGACACCGGGGTGTCTATAAACCCACATCATATAGGATTATGGCATTCCTATAAAAAGTAAATAACATAACTATCATGCCTGAATATATACATACATACATACATACATACATACATCATGACAACCATTTCCTTAAATTATAGAAAACCACCTTCTAATTCAATCCTTACATTCAAAACTCCCAATCAAATCATGCTCTCACACATACTTACATGTTAAACACTTTATACTGATAAAATAGAAGATATCTTGATTATTTGATATCATAGGTAAGTATTTACAATATTTACATTATTGATAACATATTTAAATGATAAGTTAGAATTCTATTTAGGAAAGATAATGTAAATAACTAACCTGAACTATATGTAGTCCATGTCCTGTCTGTGCAGAGTTATAAGCAGAGTGAATAAAAAGTGTGCAAATGTTAGGGAGGAAAGCTGTAGTTAGATAATGTTAATCAGCTAGGAAGCTGAAAGCTATTGTATTGACAAGCTAGAGAGTTGGTGACAAAGGGACAGGAATAGACTAACCTGTCCACCCTTCAATAAAATTGGACCAACCGCTTGGACTCTTAACCCAAGCATATACATTTAGTACTACAACTAATGAAGATGTATACAACTACTTGAAATGAAAAGAGCTAAAACTATATTCCTAAAAACTATATACACAATATCCTGTTACACATATTCACTGATAACGTCACTTCCATTATGCCCCTGGATAGTGTTATTTGATGTATATTTTGACGTTATTCCGGTACTGAGGTCTCCTATGACATCACTTCTGGTGGCAGTACGATGATACATCCTAGACTATCATGCAGATACCGTAAATCACCTTATATCCTTTCACCACACACACACCCTTCCAAGTTCCCTAAAGAAGAAGGGCTGCCTGGCCTACTTGGATACTAAAACCCAGGTTGGCACCACAGAACACAGTGAGTCTAGTCCTTCCAGATCGGTTTGAATGTCATGCAAGTAGAAATTTGAAAATGTATTGTAGGGTTTCAATTGATAGCTCACTTATTGCCAGCCCTCTAATTTTGTGAGGTCTGCAGCTTCCTCATGTTGGAGTGGAGATCTGATTTTAGTGATAGCTGTCGGCTAAGATGGTCTTCAACCATCCCACCACAGTAGGAAGTCTTTTCCTAATGAAGTCTTGCATGAGATAAATAGGCTTTTTCTCTGCTTTCTGTGGTGATCTGTGATGTAGTATCTCAGTGCTCTGATTGTACATCGTAGCCTATCCAGATAATCCACACTTCTACTTAAGGCAGGTATCATATGTTGCCTGTGCCTGAGGGGGTCAAATGCCAGTGACTGATTTTGGGCAATATATTCCGTTAGGGACCTGTAAGATATTGTGCCCCAGTCTTGTGCATGCGTTTATGCGGTAATATAAATTACATGTAACTCTGACACTCTGGATTGTCTCTCGTGATATTCTCCTCCATTCTTATTGTAAGGTCTGCCTAAACTGTTACAATTTCTTGGAACGCTGAGGTCGGTTACGAACCCTTCATCCCAAAATATCCCAAAGGTATCAGCTTGACAGGGCAATGTTGTGACACCTTGCTGTCTCAGACAGACAACTGCAATACAAGCTCTGTGAAGAGGTGCATTGTCATCCTGGAACTCAAAGTTCTGACCTATGCACTGGGCAAACACGATGACCACTGGATGTAAAACTTGGACCATCTAACGTTGCATGATTATCTGATCCATCCTGCTGTCACATGCGATGCCAACCCAACCGGACAGTAACTCTCTCCACTTCATATCCAAACATGTTGTCTACTATCAGTAAAGTGTAAACAGAATTTTGATTCATCAGAAAACAATGTGTATCTTCAATGCCACTGTTGCCTGAGGTCATCTTAACCCCACCTGTTTGCCAATATCATTCCATCAGTGTGGATATCACACTTTTGGATTTACCAAAGTGTTTTGTAACTGTATTCTGTGATTGGCCAACTACAATCATGCCTCTTTTGAGGGCATTTTTCTTTGTTGTACCCATCAATGAACCATGTGGTTGTTTATTGGCACATTCAAGTAACCAGGATGTGTCACCATGGATGGCATGTTTTATGTGTGCAATGTGTAGAGTTTAAGTGAGTTTCCTATCTGTATACAATAACTGTGTCTCATGCAAAAGTTCATCATTTCACTCTTATAGCTAAAATCTCAGGGGTTCCCTTAAATATTGTTCGTTATATAGGTCAAGATCAAGATGTAGAGTATCCCAGATTGAGGTTCTCCACTTGAATATCTCTGGATGGAGGGGTCATTTTGTGGGCTTGATCTTGCTCTTCCAAGATAGGCAATGTGCAAGTATGTCAAACTTGCACGGGATGTGACACATACTGTCCATGTAGAGGTGATGTAGAGATGGTGGAAATACAAGAAGTATGCCTGGCAAGACATTTTGACATAATAGACACCAATGTAGTTCTGACAGTTGAGTTGGTAGAGGTTGAGTTAATATTACTAAGGTTAGCTTTCTGGTAGTGTTTATCCAATTTTTTAAGGGATGCAGCGGTAGCCTGCTTCTGTAGGTCAGATACTTGAGTGAGCATTACTAGGGAAAACATCCACCAATCAAGGCTACTGTGGCAGGATGGCTCAAAACAACCATAGCAGACAGCTGTCACCAAGCACAACTCTGCATCAACAGGATTTTAGATGTGCTGAACTTTTGAGGACTCATATGCAACAAGAGCCGCCTCTGGGCACACCTCTACCTCTGTGCCACGCTGAGTGAAGGGCTGCTCTTGGAGGTCTCTCATGGAGACTCTGGCTTTTGGACGCTAAGTTCTATCCTTCCAGGGTGGGGCATGAATGGAATCATGCCCTGATGTCACATGTCTTCTCCTGTGAGGAACTGGCTGACTCTGATAGTCTCCTGGATGCTTCTGGATCTTCAATGCCATGCTGTGATACCTCTGGCTGGTTGCCCTGGTGGTCTCCTCCTTGACTTATTTAGTCTCCCTGTTAAAGAACTGTGGACCTGTAAAAGGCTGCAATAATATGGTGTGAATGTGATGTACTTGCTAAAGCAGAGGAATTCATCCAATAAGTAAGAGCTGGGCTGAAATCCATATCTGCCCTAACTGAATGACTTCTTGCATCTTTAGGATATGGTCCAAAGAGCTGTGAATGAATCCCATAGGTGCATGGTTGACTTAAGGGGAGACCTGAATCTGGTTAGTCAGAGGGATGATGGGACAAATGTCTGCAGCAACCCAGTTGATGTAAAAGCTGATTTTTAACATGTTTTTTTAACGTTATCCATATCTCTAACTCTAGCCGACTTTACTTGTATCCTAGCTTTGGGCTTCTTGCCAAGATTATAGAAAACAAAATGTGTTCAGATGTGAGCAACGATTTTGACTTGTTAACATCTGGACACACATAAAGGAAGTGATGATTTCCTGCCTCGCTCATGCACATTTTACATTTCCAGTGTAGGACAGGGCTTTCCTCACAAGTCATTTTCCCAAGCTGAACTTTCTTCTGATGACTGATCATAACATTTATATTTCATGATCCCCTACTTCTCTTTGGGGAGTATAAAATATGGCAGCCATATTGCAAAATGTATTTATGGCAAAATGTAATGAAATTTGGTTATATTATTAGGTTAGTACCTGGAATCAACATGTATATCCTATTTGTTTATCTGTTTTTTTACATTTGAACCTTCCTTTGACCTCTTCACTTCAACCATGTTCAATTTTAAATGTGGTGGCCATTATATCTTTTCATCTTTGTGGTTTCATTTTTTATTCACTTACCAAAATCAAACTCAGAAAATTTCAGAATTCTTGTACAGTTTGTTGACCAATTAACAAATAAATAGTCGTTATCTTTTTTTACAAGATATGAAAATCACACATTTTATCCCCCACAATGAAGTGGGAGTGAGCTATATAGGTTTTGGTTCCATCCATCTGATTTCAGTTGGAATAAGTTTTATTAGAATACACTATGATCAAGATCAAAACCCAGCATCGAGAATAAATATTACATTGAGTTACAATCATTCACTTCATTTTTTTGGACATTGTAATCTGTACTCCCAAACTTGGTACAATTTCTTAGAAACTGTTATGGATGAGGATTTGCATACATCATTAAGGGATATCTACAGTAAACTACTTTCATAAATAACAAACACACTTTCTTGTCCTGGCCATTTGCTGTATATATTCTGTATTTAATGCTTATAATGAACTACGGTTATAACAAAATATAGGTAAGTGGGTTTGGGAATTCCAGGATTAGATCTTATCATTCATGCCCTGCGGATGGATGGTTTTCAGATCAAATATCCATTTTAGTTGAATGGACCGGCGTCTGGCCGTGCTCTGAGCTGACTCAGGGTCTGTTTTGAGCTGTTGTATGATTTGATAGTGTAGGTCTCTGGTTGAGTGTCCTACGGAATTGAAGTGTTTAGCGACAGGTTTGTCCCTTTGGTGGTTCATATCTGCAAAGTGTTCTTTGAGTCTGGTGCAGAAGTGTCGTTTGGTCTCACCTACGTATTGTTTGCCACATTTAATGCAACTGAGCAGGTAGATTATGTTTCTGCTTTTGCAAGTGAAATGCGGGTGGCATTTATATTTTTTGCCTGTTGTGTGGCTATTGAAGGTGTTGACCGATTTCATATTTATGCAGATTTTGCATGCTTGTTTGTGACAGCTGTCATCTAAGTTGGGCACAGTTCGGTCACTGATTTGTGGTTTGAGTGGCGGATAGGTGATTGCCGCTCTCATGAGGATGTCCCTGAGAGTGCGCTTCTTCCTGTATGCCGTGATGTGTGGGACTCGGAAGGTGTCTTTGCAGGTATCTGATCCTAGAAGTAGGTGCCAGGATTTTTCAATCATGGAGCTAACCTTGAGTGCAGTGGGGTTGTAATCTGTGATAAAGATCACTGGTTTAGTGTCTTTAGAGGGTGTCTGTTTTTGTGTTAAGAGGGATGTTCTCTCTTTAGCGTTAGCTTTTATTTCATTGTCCAAGAAAATTTTCTTGGGGTAACCTCTCTTCAGGTAATACTTTACTAGATTGTTACTGTGGAACTCATATTGTGATTGCGAGCTGCAGATCTTTTTGAGTCGGAGGAATTGGCTATATGGTCCTTTGACTTTGATGTTTCGCGGGTGGCCGGCAGGAGGTATATAGCAGATAAGAATGTGTATCTGTGGGTTTGCAATATAGGTCAAAGTCCAGTTTGTTGGTTTCTTGGTTAAATATGACCCATGTGTCTAGGAAAGCCACTTTTTCTCTGGAAAATTCAGCCGTGAATTTGATTGTGGGATGTGATTGGTTCATTTCTTTGATGAAAGATTCTAACCTAGTGTAGCCCAAAGTCCAATTGAGGAAGATGTTGTCTATAAATCTGACGTATAGGTTTGGGCTATCAGTGGGTTTTTTTAGAAGTTTTTCTTCTAATTCTCCCATGAAAATGTTTGCGTATGATGGGGCTAGTTTGGTACCCATGGCTGTTCCTCCGATTTGTACGAAGTGTACATTGTTGAAAACAAAATTGTTTTTGTATAGAACAAGTCTAAGTAAAGAGAGTAAGCTGGTGGGGCTGATGGACCAGTCAGGTTTGAAGCGTCTAATGGCCTGAGCTACTGAACGGAGGCCTTCCCTGTTGGGTATATTGGTGTAAAGGGATGTGACGTCCATAGTGACAAGAATGATGTCACTATTGGGTGGTAGGTGGATGGAGCCCACGGTTTGGATGAAGTGGGTGGTGTCCCTAATGTAGCTAGGATAATGTTTGACGAACTCTTTTATGTGTTCGTCAACGAAGCTGCTAATCAGTTCAGTTGTGGTGCCGTTTCCGCTTATGATTGGGCGGCCTGGTACTTTGCCAGGTGTTAGGTTTTTGTGAATTTTGGGCAGGAGGTGGAACCGGCCGAGTTTGGGGTCTTTGGGTAACAGTCCATTAAATATTTTGTAAGTGATCTCTTCTTTGGTGAAGATTTTGGTGAGAAGTTGTGTGATCTCGTTAGCAAATTCCATGGTGGGGTCATGGTCTATTTTAAGATAAAAGTTGGTGTCAGTGAGTTGACGTGTGGCCTCTTGTATGTAATCAGTAGTGTTGAGAATAACGACTGCTGATCCCTTATCGGCTTTTTAAATCACGATTTCTGGGTTGTTTTTGAGACTATTGATGGCAGTTCTCTGTGCACGTGTGAGATTGTTGCGTATGAACGGGATGGTGTTCATTTTGAGAAACTGGTGTTTTACTGATTTGATAAAGGCATCGAGCATAGGGTCTATGCTGGATTTGGGGTCCAGGTGTTTCGTGGGCCAAACTTACGCTCTAGATCGTTGAAATTGTCAACTGTATCTGTTTTGTTTTTCTCATGAAAGAAGTGAGAGATTCTCATTCTCCGAAAAAAGGCTTTAAGATCTGTATATATTTTGCTAAGATCCGTATCTAAAGGTGTAGGGCTAAAAGTAAGACCCTTACTAAGAACACTAAGTTCTGTCTCATTAAATTGATAATCAGACAGATTAACAACAAAGGCATTTTTGTAAATTTCAGGAATTTTTTTTGAACTATTATTGTTGAGATTCAAATATGAAAATTCATTGCTAATGTCTGTATTATTGTTGCCACCCACATTGAGGGCATTGGCAAGCTGCCTAAGGACTTTTTCCAGTTGGAAATTTCCTGACTGGTTCCGGGTCTTCCTTTTGAAGGTCTGTCTTGATTTGTTGTTGAACCGGTTCAGAGGCCTGACGTGTCTGGGCTCTTGGCGGCGTGGACCCCCTGTCAGGTTATGTGGGGTGATGGTGGGTTCCATGTAAAGTTTGGGATCATATGGGTTCCTCTCGTTGAACTCGGTTTTGAGTTCATTAAATCGTTTATCCAATTTCATGTGCCAGTTAGTTGACTCCCGGGTAGAGATCGTATGGCACGCAGCAAGTATGGTGTCCAGTGAGGTTTTGTCAGCATCCTTTTGGAGTTTGTTTTTCTCCATAGTGGCTTGGTCTCTAAGCTCACATATGTTGACTTGTAATTGGGAAATGTGTGTTTCCATTAATTTTAAGGCGCATGATTTTGCCGCCTCGCTCCTGATTCTAGCCAATTCTTGATTGTAATTGGTTTGGTGTTGCAGGATGAATGGTCTAAATGACCTAGGTATCAGACTTTTCTCTATACATGCGATTGTAAATTCCAGTTGCATGTTGTTACAGGCGATTTTGCTCATAAGATTCCTATATGTCTTATATGGGCCGACTAGACTGTCGACTAAATCCACCGCTTTTGCGATGTTATCGGTTGATTTGGATTCTGTGGTTCCAAATTCAACTCTCTTCCTTTTACTTGATGGTTCTACTTGAACCACCGTAGTAATAGAGCGGCTTTCTAGGCTGCTGAAGGAGGAAGACGGAGTAATTTCAGCCATTACTCTTGGGTGTTAGAGAGATGTGTGAATATATAGAGAGTTTGGGGCTAAAACCCAAGAGCAATCTAGGTGACTAGTTTCAAGCGGGTATGCTCTCATCAGACTGCAGTCTGATGAGAGCATACCCGCTCGAAACTAGTCACCTAGATTGCTCTTGGGTTTAAGCCCAAAACTCTCTATACGGTTATAACAAACTAAAATTTGTGGTCTCTTTGAGTTTGTCATAACCATAGTTTCTGAAAACATTTATGTTGTAGTTGGAAACATATATGTGACAGTTCACTGCCCTGCTGGAATCACTACAGCTGAAATAGCTAGCTCAAACATAGTTTACCACCTGTTTCAAAGTTTTGGCACATATGTCATTGGCTCGCATACATTGACAGACATCTTGATGCAATCTGTCTCCCAGATTTATGTATGAAAAAAGGAAGAGCAATTCCCTTTTATTTGATACATTTATGATTTTACCACAAATACCACACAGCAAACTCCCTGATGAAGCACAGGTGGATATGGTTTGGTAAAGAGGAGGTTCTACCGAGCATGTACAGGTTGCATGACGTAATATAAGGTAACCAAGCTAAGGGTACTGGGAAAGGACTAAAGGTATATACAGGATATGGAAATACAAAAACACACAAAACATTGTAGACACAATTTATGGATAACAACTTCTTACTCAGTGAGTGATTGAGTTGGGTTTAACACTGCTTTTAACAGTATACTAGTTATATCACGGCATGTCAGCTTAATGTGGGAGGAAAGCCCGAAGTGATGCAGGTCTCAGACATTCACCACTGAATGCTGGACAATGGTATCAGGATCTATACTGAAACATTGCCTTTACAATATCAAAGAAGTTGTTATCCATAAATTTTGTCTTCTTTGTTATCCGTCAGCTTCTAAGTAATGCCTATCAAACAATTCACACTAAACATCGATAAAATGGTTATGGAGTAGAGCTGCTTCCTCAAAACATGTCATATTTCATCAAATCACCACCAAAGATGTATTTAAAAAATTAGACATAGATACTCATAACACAATGTACATTGTCCATTACAAAACTGAAGAATCCTTATTTTCATAAGATGAACATAATAGATCTGACGATATACTCACATGCAAAAGAAACACAAGTGGTTTTAACCAAATAGGTAACAAACACGGAACCATTTCAACGTTAACATAACCACAATTTACCGTCTCCTGCATCAATACAATGCTACACAGACCACAGATGACCTTCCTTTGAGCGGTCGTCAAGATCTGCAGATTACCCGTCCACACCAACAACATCCGTTCCTAACTGCAAGTGAAAGTGCTCGACAGACCATAGGAACACATAATCGACACATTAGCCGGGACACTGATTCCGCGTCTCCGTTCCAACAACCTCAGATGTCGCCGACCAGCACGTCGTCCTGTTCTCCAACCACGGCATTGACAAGCATGACTTCAATGGGCACAGGGTCATCGCAATTGGCGTCATCGTGAGTGGAGGTGTGTTATCTTCTCTGATGAAAGTCGCTTTTGTGTCTCCCATGCAGACGGAAGAGTCAGAATTTGGTGGAGTCGAGGTGATCGTTTCGCTGACAGAAACGTTGTGGAAAGGGATCGATGGGGTGGACCTAGCATCATGATATGAGCAGGGATTAGACTTAATGCGAGACTTGGACCCATGTGCTTTCTGAATGTTTGTCAAGGTCGGGGACACGGCGTCACTGCTCAGCGGTATATCGACCAAGTGATCAGACCCCACGTTGTTCCATTTTTTGCACAACATCAACAACACATTTTCCAGCAGGACAACGCTCATGTTGCCAGAGCTACCATGGCCTTTCTGCAACAACACAACATCCGTGTTCTACCGTGGCCAGCCTTCAGCCCTGATCTGAACCCCATCGAACACTTGTGGGATGAGGTTCAAAGGCGTCGGGCACAATGTGCGCCCAGTCCCTACAACTGCCGATGAACTACTCACAGTTGCTCTGGATGTGTGCAGGAGGATCCCTAGGGCCTTCACAAATCTTCTGATCCACTCAATGTACAGGAGATGTGTGGCAGTGATCAATGCTAATGGTGGTCATACCAGGTATTGACTGACATTTTGGGTATTGACCCGAAACTGTGTAAGCCCTCAACATTTGAAAAAACCCAATTCTGTCATCTGCCTTTTAATCCATTAAACTGTCTTCAGTCAAATTTTTGTCTATCTTGCCCTATTAGTATTTCTTGTCTTTACTGTTGAAAATAAATAACATGTATACTGCATACTCGACTTGCGTTTCTTTTGTGTGTGAGTATATAAACAGAATATGATGTATCTTAGGACAAAATCAAACTTGTCTATTGCTTTTTGTTTTGAAGATTGCTCATGTGATACGAGAGATCAGGCTCTTCCAGCAAACATGGTATAGAATAGAACATCATTCACGGGTGAGTAAAAGTTTGTCTGTATGATTGATCAGTTCACATGAGTGCATAAATAAATGATTTTGCCAAGATCCTTGTCCCAAAAATATAGAGCAGTAGGCATTGTTGTAATGTGCAAAAAGTGTTCATTATTCAAATGACATGGTATAATTTTTTGTTCTATGAATTATATAAAACCAGCTACTAACTAGCTCACATACTTATTTGTGAAATATTTGCAAAAATAAAGATAAAACTATATATTTAAGTTAAAGAAGCTATTCCTTTGGCTCTCCTGACTGAAAGTCAAGTGAACGTATGTCATGGCATGTTGTCTGTCGTCTGTTCATACATTGTGAACTTATATTTATTTCGACATCTCCTCTGAAACTATAATATAAAGCTTTGGAAGATGAAACTTTGCATGAATGATCATTATAGTGTCCCTAAAAAGATTTTTTGGTGTTTTTTTGTTTTTGTTTTTTTCTGGAGTCATGTTACAGATAGGAGGTGCTAAAAAGAAATGCATGAAGCTCCTTTGAATGAAAATTGAGAGATGAAAAACGTGACACCAGGGTTTTCAGTACACTCATTCACACACAGGCACTCTCACTTGTACATGTATGTATACAATGCATAAATCCAATTAAGATCGACAAGTGGTATTTGGTAGAAAAGAGTGGATTGAGGTGACAGAAAATTATAACTAAGTATTTACATGTGGAGGGACAGTCGTTACTTCATTATCCAACAGTATATGATATAACATCCATTTTGAGTTAAAAATTGCCTTGCTGACTCTTGCTATACCTTTCATATGCATTTCTTTCACACAATGTATGCTAAAATTGTTTAAGTTAATATTTGTAAGTTACTTTGCAAAGGAAGGAGTTTGTTGATATACACTCTTAGCTGGAGCCACCTTAGTTTAGTATTTTGAGTGATTTTGATTGACTTGAGGAAGTTCTTCCCATTTGCTTTTGGCTTTAACAGCAGTTTCTGATGATTTTAGAATATAACAATGGCCTTTAGCACTCTTCTTAACAGAAAGCAGTTTTGGGACCACCTGGTTGTCATTTAGTTGAGGAAATGAAGCTGAATGGACAATCTTTATGCTTTTTCATACACACTTGGCCATAATCATACCATGGTAATAAAGGAAAAATTATATCAATTTCAAATTAAATCTTGAAACTGCTCCCTTGTAACAAAGCTACCATCAGGGCAAATACAATCTCATCTGGTTGATGCCTCAATCAAACAAGTTGGAATTTTTTAGCAATGGTTATGTTGCTATCAACAATAGCTATATTCAGATGATTAGTTCCTATACTTTTTGTCGGTAGTATATATTACGGAAGTATAGAAATTTGAACCGCCCAAAATATACTTGTTACAGTTTAACAGAACACTTCCTGCCTGATATCTAAACTTAGATATATATCACTACTACTGACATTGTGAAATACCAAAACATGATAATGATAATGTCATTGTGATTACCAGCACCAAGTCCACTAGACGACATTTAATGTTTCTAATTTTCACTTGGTCACTTGATTTTATCCTCTGCAAACAGTAAGACCATCATAAAGGTTAAAGGATAAGTGTAGGTACACAATGTGCCTTGTTGCACCACACGCAGGATAGCTTTGCTCATTTTGTTGTCTGAGCAAGGAAGACACCATTTGAACAGTGCTATAGGCCTCTCATTCCTGGCAACGTTTTTTTCTCTCAGAAGACCAAATGTCCAGTTTATCATCCATCCTTTTCATTCTAGGTTGTAAGGTTTTAAGATAATCATATTTCCAGTGATGCTGAAACATCACAGACAGTACTTGCACTCTCTACCACTGAGCTCTATATACATGTCCTAGAGGTAGATGTAAGGGTAGGAGGAACATCAAGGTTAGAAGAAACTGAAACAAGAGGATGCACATTGACAATCGCACACAGCTCACCCTAGAGCATCATCAAAACATCATGGGTTAGATCCCTATCAATCAAATCATCTAAGATGGAAGTCCAATGTCTGGCGTCTCAACCCAATCATGCACCCTCTATGTACCTCCCATGTGTGAGGTATGCGGGGTGTTGAAGATCCACTCAGCCAAAACTTTTTGAAAACTTTGACATTCAATGTGTCCACTTGCAAGATATAAATCACACTAATTTAAGTTGTAGCAGGATCATGATGGGTACAATGGGCTTTATGCGTTCCATGTGAGGTTTTATACCAAAAGCTGGAGGTGAGTTGTATAAAACCTAATGAGGGACACATAAAACCCCATGTACCCTGAGTGATCCTACCACAAAGAATTTATCTTACCGACATGTTTTATTATGACATCGTAAAAGAATTAAAACAGATTCAAAATTGATAGGAAACAGCTGTTTGATTGAACTTGTGCTATGTCACATGACTTTCATTGACACAGCTTTTTGCTTCGAGGTTGGGTATGAGGAATTTATTAAGTACATGTATGATAATGAGGTTTGTAACACAGTCTGATCTAAATTGGTTTACGTTGTCCCCTTAAGTTCATGAAACACTTGAGAGCATTGATAAAGGCAGATGAACACATACTCTTGATTACTTCTATGGGGATAGCTCCTGTCACAAGACACAAAAACATTATAGCCCATATTTTGCTCTGTTTCTTGTTTTCCTAGAATCATTATTCCATGGTCCGAATGTGTCCACAATGATATGGATAACAGGCTGGCTATGAGTCAAGCGCTTTCCACCAGCTAACCCAAACCTGCATCTTATGTTAGATGAGGACCCAGGTGTCTCACATTTTCCTGAAAGTACCGAACAAGGAGAGTAGCAATATGATGCTTTCCCAGAAGAATGAGTGGAATTTTCTGGTTTGTGTCAATGTACGCATGTTAGAGACAACCTCTCACAAGTCTTTGTCAAGAACTTGAGAAAGCCTTGGTATATGACTGTCCTTAGGCAATGCAGTGTTGGACTTAGTACAATTGATAACCTTTTTATACACTTGACTGGATTTGCTGAAAAATGAAACTTTCAGCTCTTGCACAAAATGTTGTGAATACGATTTTTACACATAAATCTTGGGTACTGTGTTTATGGTGACATTGTGCCAACTGTGGAACATTAGTCTCAATGAGACTGTTCCAGCTTGAGAATCGTGTGAGTCTGTGAACACCTTCTGAAGATTGAGTGGTGAGGGCATTCACCCTCCAATACAAGCTCTGGATCCTTTCCTGGGATGAGCTGTGAAGGGCCTGTAATCCAAGTGCTTTTTCCCTAAAAGTTAGCAGAAATCGATCTTGTTTCCAGATCCGCAGCTCCATCATTCCAGTCTCAACAGATTCCTTATGTGTGATCCACTGTTGCTGACGTAAACTGAGAATCTTTTGGTTTGGTTGTGTATATATCCAAGGACAATATGACTATCTGTGTGGTAGGAAACAGTGTCTGTCTGTATGTCAAAACTTTCACAAATGAGAAGCAGCATTGACTCTAAGTACTGTGCTGCACAACTCTGGATGTGGTATGGTATAACTTTGGACTTTCCTGAGATGAACCTGACTTGAGTAACCATCCCTGGGTTTGTGGTCCCTGGGATATTCTTGCCTTCTCAAAGGTGAGTCAAGGTGAGGTGAAATGGGGTTTAATGTTGCTTCCAAGATTATTTTACTTATAAAGCGATGTGCATATCAGTCTTTGTTTTAGCCCCTGAATCCGGAGCACCAGGGTGGGTAACAACAAGTACCATCTTTTAACATCTTTTGGTATGACACATCCGGAGATCAAAACTTTGACTTTCCGCTTTTGGGGTTACAAGTAGACAACAGAGGCGGTTACCTTCTCTGAGGCATCTGTATAAACATGCTCTTCTTTCCTAGTCACCGACAGTAGTTTGGTGTCTTTCCTTAAATATGACTCTTTCATGTCATGGTTTGAAGATGGAAGCCATCCATTCACAGTTATTCTGTCTGGCTGGTGCACTTATCCGAGACAGGTCTCTTCTACAATGACCCAATCTAAGCACAATGTTTGTGTGGAAGGAGAATTCCCTGTCTGATTGTGTTGATGAAACACATGGTGCACTGGTACAATATCTCTTCTAATCAATAGGATGATGTGGGATTCATCCACAGGAGGGATAAGTCCAGCTATGCATACAAGATGGGAATGGTGTGTTGCCACTTTGGGTGTAGATATTTCTTCTCAGTGGTTGGCTATTTGATTACATTCAGTCAGGCTAGGGAGTTCTAGATTGGCACCAGAATCAAGCGATTCATCCACAAATCCCTTTGCTCTCCACGTGACCAGAAAGTATAAGGAATACTGTCACCTCCAGCAACAGAGAGCTCTAAAAAATCAGATCTGTCCATGAAGACATTACTCTTGTCATCTAGCATAGCGTACAATTTCACAACTAGTCCTGGCTATCCCTTTGGTTTACCTTGGCCAAGACTGTCTTTGCACCAAATTTGCCCGTAAATGTTATCATAAACTTTGTTGAGATTGGATCATGCTTCATACCCAGGTTTGAAGCTACTACTCCCGCTATCATCCCTCGTAATCTGCTTCAAGCCATATCAAAATCACTTATGTCTACATGAAGTGCAGTGCACTTCAAAGAATCTTTTTGCACATTTTCGTCCCACAACATCGATAACAAAAGAGATTGTTTCTTTGGCTGAAACCTTTATACTGATTGTGAATGTATCTGGAATGATGCAGTGGACATTGCAAGTCAATTTAGTTTCATCAGATTTTGTCTAGACATGGAGGAAGTTTGTAAATCGTAACCAAAAGGAGACCGCTGTACAGGAAACCTCTGAGGTAAAGGCGGTATCATCAATAGCATGTCTGTTTGACCCGGGAGATAGTTGTTTGCGATGAAGTCCCATCGCAGACGCAAATCTAATCCTGTTAAGATCCAAGGCGTGTATCTTGCTGACCCTCGCAGCAGTAGTGAAAGCTAGAAGGAAGACTGTCTTAAGAGTGATCTCCTCGGAGTCCTTCCTTCCAGAGGCTCATA